TATTTTATGTACCGTGAACGCCACACTTTAATCATTTATGATGATCCCTCCAAACAAGCACAGGCTTATCGCCAAATGTCTCTTCTATTACGAAGACCACCAGGTCGCGAAGCTTATCCCGGAGATGTTTTTTATTTACATTCGCGTCTTTTGGAAAGAGCCGCTAAATTAAGTTCTCAGTTAGGTGAAGGAAGTATGACTGCTTTACCAATAGTTGAGACCCAATCAGGAGATGTTTCAGCTTATATTCCTACTAATGTAATTTCTATTACAGACGGCCAAATATTCTTATCTGCCGATTTATTCAATGCTGGGATCAGACCCGCAATTAATGTGGGTATTTCCGTTTCCAGAGTTGGATCGGCGGCTCAAATAAAAGCCATGAAACAAGTAGCTGGTAAATTAAAATTGGAATTGGCACAATTCGCAGAATTAGAAGCTTTTGCACAATTCTCTTCAGATCTCGATAAAGCCACGCAAAATCAATTGGCAAGAGGTCAACGATTGCGCGAGTTGCTTAAACAATCCCAATCAGCTCCTCTTACTGTGGAAGAACAGATAATAACTATTTATACTGGAACGAACGGTTATCTTGATTCATTAGAAATTGAACAGGTAAGGAAATTTCTCCTTGAGTTCCGGGCTTATTTAAAAACGAATAAACCTAAATTCAACGAAATCATATCTTCTACCAAGACATTCACTGGGGAAGCAGAAGCCATTTTGAAGGAAGCTATTCAGGAACAGATGGAACTCTTTTTACTTCAGGAACAAGTAGAAAAAAATTGATTAAAATTTTCATACCGTTAAAAAATTTCTATCATTAGTCTCTTAAAAAAAAGAATCATAAAGATAATAAATTCACAATATATTTTTATAAATATACGAATTCAATTAATATATATGCAATTGCAATCAATTCAATATGTAATCAATTTGCGTCCAATAGGATTCGAACCTATACCAAAGATTTAGAAGACCTCTGTCCTATCCATTAGACAATGGACGCTTTTCTTTTTTTCTTTCCCTTTTCACGAAAATTTCGTGAAAAGGGAAAGAAAAAAGAATTCTATACTAAAACTAAATGAAGAAATTTACTAAATAAAAAATAGAATATAAGCGGGTAGCGGGAATCGAACCCGCATCGTTAGCTTGGAAGGCTAAGGGTTATAGTCGACGTTTATGAATGAACGTCTCTAATTCAAAACTGAACGTGAAACTTTTGTTTCATTCAGCTCCTTTACAGAATAATTTAAGAGATAGATGGAATACATGAAAAAAAGAATCCATAACATCTATGTCAGCCTTTCGGTATGAATACAATTAACGTTGCTTTTTAGATGATCCCTATAGAAAAGGAGTATTCGAACAATCTCTTTTTTTCTAGTTACTTCGTTCTCTATTTCTATTTGAGAGAATCTTTAGGAAAAGAATAAAATTTCCGTCGAGCTAAAAAAATATGTTGATGTTTCTAGTAAACTAAAAAAATCATTTCATAGCTATTTTGCTTCAATCTCTCCTATACAAAACAAATAATAAAAAAATTGGAAGATTTAGTTACGATTGGAAACGAATTTTATATATCTTTCTCCCTGGATCCTTTACTTATATTCAAAAATTGGGATTCTGGATCCAATTGCAAAAACTTATGTTTCATAATTTTAGAATCAATTCTAAATTGTATACAAATTATGATAATGTATATTATTCCTCGAATTGCTCCTTGAGAGGTATAAGGATTAAATACCTTTAAGTAAGAAATAAAGTTTTTGATCGTGATATGAATCACGGAAGGGACCCCTTAACTATTACTATTAAGGGGTCGATAGAACGAATCGCACTTTTACCACTAAACTATACCCGCTACAATACTATTATTGTATATAAAAAGATCTTTTGTCAATATCAATACAGGAAGGGGAATCAGTCCTAATTATGAAATAGGTGCAGAATTTTATGATAAATACAGTGTTCACATGTTTCGTAAAGGGCCCCCTAATGAAATTTAGAAAAGGGGGCGAATCTCATTTTTGGATTTTGTTGAAGGTATTTTGACAGATAGATCTCGACAAAATTACTAAACGAAATTCATAAGACAAAAATGCATTGTGCAAGAATCCATAGTTCTATTTCTTTTTTTAGATACGTTAACTGATTAATTCGTATGATATACGATCAAAAAGTTATTTTTATTTTTGTTTGATCGTATTAAAATGTTTTCCTTAATTACAAGTTTCTTTCAAATCTGATACAGAAAAATAAATCATTGTGATTCATGGGAAAAAAGAGCCGTGCCAGTACCTAGCTGGACTCTGGTTGGATAAAAAAACAAACTAAAAAAAAAAGAAAAGAAAAAATTTTATATTGCGTATATATAGAATATAACTTTAGTATAGGTATAAGAAAATATAACTAATATTTATGAGTTAATATAGAATTATGAATAGTAATTAAATAAAATGATAATCAAATAGAAAAAAGATAGATAGATAAGATATATCAAATGACGATCAATATCAAATAAGATATATAGAAGGCTTTTTTGAGCCCTACTTTTTGTTCTTTTTGTTTATCCGAGGTATCATAAGCATAATAATTCAATTTTTTGAATTGGGGAGAGATGGCTGAGTGGACTAAAGCGTCGGATTGCTAATCCGTTGTACGAATTTTTGTACCGAGGGTTCGAATCCCTCTCTTTCCGTTTATTGATGATTTGGCATTTTTTTCTTTTGAACTTCTGGAATTTCTTTTTTTTTTTATTCCCTGTTTGTTTCATTTTTTACTAGTTAAAGATGTAAAATAGATAGAAAAACGAAAAATATTTAAAAATCCAGCATAAGTACGGAAAAGAACAAAGATTTTCTTATTCTTCACGTCCAGGATTACGTCCTGGATCATTAGATAGGAATCCGAAGATGAAAAGAGAAACAAAGAATATCACTATTGTGTAAACAAATAGTTTTAGAGTAAGCATTACAAAATCTCCAAGATAATAAAAAAAAAAAAACGACAGAGAAAGAGAATAGATTCTCTTGTATTTCATATTATGTTTCCTTTGATACTCAGTTTATAAGAAATGAAGTTATTTCAAAAAAACTAAAAAAATTGATTTGTAGTAAGAGTTGAGCCTTTGTTTTACCATTACCAACAATTCAATTTTCTTTCATATCCACAAGATCCACGTATTGGTGGTAGACTCAAATCGAATAATAGAATAATATAATTTTTATTTTTGAATGGAAAAAAAGGAAATGATGAGATGATCCATATTTTTATTGTCTATCCAACAATTTCAAGATTTATAATCACGGATTCACACTGTAAGACTTATCTTATTTTTAAAAATGTTAAAATTTGAGTTTTCTAATAAATTCTGACTTTTTTTTCGGACATTATTCAAATTAAAGATCTTATCGAAAACTTACAGCAGCTTGCCAAACAAAAGCTAAGAGAAAAAAGAGTAAGGGTATTACTGGCATAAAATCTACAATTGGATTCAAAAAAGCGTAAGCTTCTGGTAATTTCCCCAAGAAAAAACTACTTGAATAAAGGGCAGAGTGAATACAAATACAGACCGAGCTAAAGATATTAAGCATAACAAAAATGTTTTTCTTTAAGAAAATGAATTGTCTTTTTTCTTTTGTTTTTAATTCTAATTTTGATTGTATTTTTTTTATTATTATATAGATGATTTATTCTATATATGATATGATTTATTCTATATATGATATGATTTATTATATAATTTATTATTATTATTATCCATTTTTGTATTATACTTTTATATTAACAATGAAATATAAAATCAAAATTTTTTGATTTTATTTAGATAGAATAGAGAATATATAGAATAGAAAATGAATAATTTGAAAATCTAAAAGGATAGAATATAAAATATTGAATTCCTATTTATAGATATGAAGATTACTAAATCAGTAATAAAACGAAAAAAAAAGATGAATCAACTAAGATCAGACCCCCACTTTTTTTGATTTGAACTGAATAAGTTCAAACAATATCTTAATTGAATTCTATGGAATGATCAATAAATTTCGTTTAATTCGATATCGATACATATCAAAATTCTAGCAACAATTTATTCTATAGAATAAATTTCGAAGTGTAATTTACGAACAACTCATAATACTATTTATGTCGAATCAAAATGGGGCGTGGCCAAGCGGTAAGGCAGCGGGTTTTGATCCCGTTATTCGGAGGTTCGAATCCTTCCGTCCCAGATCATATCTATTCAAGATATATACCTATTTCAATACAAATTGTATATCCGAATAAAGATTCCTTTTTTTTTTTTTAGAAATTGATTTTTTTATATTTAATTTACAAACCATGAAAATAGAATATTGACTTAATTTCGACTTCTTGACTTTAGAAATAAAATTGTATAGTCAGAAAACCTAAAACCTAGAAGTGAAAAGTATATATTATTATCTATTGATTGAGTCAATGACTATGCACGATTTCAAAATGGAATCAATTACATACCAGATTGAAACTAAAAAATAATGTTATGGTAAAACCTCGTTTGAAACGATGTAGTAAAAAGCAGCGTGGGACTTGAAAAACGTGACTATATTAGCTGCGGAGTCTTACATGCCCTATTTTCTTTATACTATCTAGTTTCTAGTATCTAGAAATAGGGATCCTCGATTTTTCGATTTGAGTGATCTATTTATTCCAAAATTCGGTGCTCAACCTACCTCATATTAGGAAAAAGTCAAGAAATAAACTAATTTGGTGCATAAATACCGTAGACCAAATGAGCCTTTTTACTTCTTTGTTTTTATTCTATTCATTCATTTTTATATTAGAAATAGTTATTGATTTGATATTCAAATATAAATGATACATTTGTTCAATACTTCTTCGCTCATTATTATTATAAGTTATTAATCCTCGCAATTCTATTTCTATACTTAAGTCGATAAAAAATGATCATCGAATGACTATTCATCTATTGTATTTTAAAGTGGTTCAATCCAATGTTGCTGTTTAATAGGGATTTAGAATATAGGTGTGGTTTAAGTAAATCCCTAGATAGTTTTGATCCTATTGAAGATAGTTTTTATCCTATTGAAAATAACGGTGTAAATGAAGACCCATCTATTTTAACTGATGACCCATATATTTTAACTGATGACCCATCTATTTTAACTGATGACTCATCTATTTTAACTGATGACCCATCTATTTTAACTGATATGGATAATGACATTCATAGTTGGATTGAGAGTTATCTTCGTTATTTAGATGATAGTGACAACTACAATGCCAATATCAGTGACTTGAATAGTTACATTTTAGATGATACAAATGATAGTGATTTGTATGAAATAGAAAATTCTAATGATACAAATGATAGTGATTTTACTCCAATAGAATATTCTAATGATACAAATAATAGTAAATTTACTCCAATACAATATCCTGATGATCCAAAAGATACTTCTTATACTGAAAAATTTAAGCATTTATGGGTTGAATGCGAAAGTTGCTTTGGATTAAATTATAAGAAATTTTTTAAATCCAAAATGAATATTTGCGAACACTGTGGAGATCATTTGAAAATGAGCAGTTCAGATAGAATCGAACTTTCGATTGATCCAGGTACTTGGAATCCTATGGATGAAGACATGTTTTCTCTGGATCCCATTGAATGGGACAAACCTTATACGGAAGACGAACCTTCTACGGAAGACGAATACGACTCTTCTACGGAAGACGAATACGAATCTTCTACGGAAGACAAACCTTCTAACGAACCTTCTACGGAAGACAAACCTTCTAACGAACCTTCGACGGAAGACAAACCTTCTAACGAACCTTCGACGGAAGACAAACCTTCTAACGAACCTTCGACGGAAGACAAACCTTATACGGAAGACGAATCTTCTCCGGAAGACGAATCTTCTCCGGAAGACGAATCTTCTCCGGAAGACGAATCTTCTCCGGAAGACGAACCTTCTACGGAAGACGAATACGACTCTTCTACGGAAGACGAACCTTATATAGATCGTCTTGATTTTTATCAAGAAAGTACAGGATTACTGGAGGCGGTTCAAACAGGCACAGGTCAACTAAATGGTATTCCTGTAGCAATAGGTATTATGGATTTTCAGTTTCTGGGGGGTAGTATGGGATCCGTAGTGGGTGAGAAAATAACTCGGTTGATCGAATATGCTACCAATCAACTTTTACCTCTTATTATAGTATGTGCGTCCGGAGGAGCGCGTATGCAAGAAGGAAGTTTGAGCTTAATGCAAATGGCTAAAATATCTTCTGCTTTATATAATTATCAAATCAATCAAAAGTTACTCTATGTAGCGATACTTACATCGCCTACTACTGGTGGGGTAACAGCTAGTTTTGGGATGTTGGGGGATATCATTATTGCCGAACCAAAAGCTTACCTTGCATTTGCGGGTAAAAGAGTAATTGAACAAACGTTGAATAAGGAAGTGCCTGAAGGTTCCCAATCGGCTGAAGTTTTTTTCGAAAAAGGCTTATTGGATGCAATCGTATCACGTGATTCTTTAAAGGACTTTTTAAGTGAGTTATTTGAATTCCATGGTTGCTTTCCTTGGATTGAAAATGAAAACTAATGCAGACTATCATTTTATTTATGTTTTTCAATTTTTAACTTTTCATTAATATCATAAAATGAATATCATAAAGAAATCTTCTTATTATATAAAAATGATATAAAAAGAAAATGAGAACACACAAGAGTAAAGTAATAAGATAAGAATAAAAAATAAAGATTAATTATCATGGACATATTTCTTGTAGAAATAGACAGCAAAATAAATCCAGTTATTTCGTTCGACATTCCTTATATTTAATTTAATATTCAAATTATTAAAATTAACGATTTTGATTCTTAATAAATCTTATTCCATTTTTTTCTTATGGGTTTATTCTCTTTATATACTCCATATAGAATATATATATATATTCATATCTATTTATTTAGCTCTACATAGTAGAATTAAAAAAATAGACTTAGTATAAGTCTATATGAATTCTAGTGATTATAGACTTTCTTTATTCCAATATAAGAAGAATCCAAATATTAATCTAACAATCAACAAAAAAGAACAGGTACAAATATGAAATTGAGGTACCCCATTTTATGATAAACTTACCATCCCTTTTTGTTCCTTTAGTAGGCCTAGTATTTCCGGCAGTTGCAATGGTTTCTTTATTTCTTCATGTTCAAAAAAACAATATTTTTTAGATACCACAAGTTTCATATATTTTTGAAAATAGGGTTAAATTTTTTAGTTTGGATTTGTTCTTTTGTTCCATTTTTGAATAACTATTGCCTTCAATAAAAAAAAAAGAAAAGTACTAATATTATATAAGCCTTAATAAGATAAGGAGGTTTTCATATAACAACATAAATATTAATCTAACAATCAAGAAAAAAGAACAGGTACAAATATGAAATTGAGGCACCCATTTTATGATAAACGTTTATGTGTTTTTAGTGGGCCTTGTATTAATTGTAATGTCTGCTTTATTGGTTCATGTTCCAAAATTCATTAGTTGGGGGTCAGAAAAACTTGGTTGTCGTTCACAAGACGCATGGCTTGACATTGTACCGGGGTCCCGAAAAATTATCAATTTATTCTGGGCGTCTTTCACTCTTTTAGGTTCATTAGGAGTTTTATATATTTCAGTTTCCAGTTATTATGGGAGGGATTTTTTCTCTTTCATTTCGTCCGAATTTGTCATTCCTTTTTTGACACAAGGAGTCACGCTGACTTTCTATGGAATTGCCGGTCTCTTTCTAAGTTTACATTGGTGGCTTCTAATTTTTTGGAATGTGGGGAGTGGCTATAATTTTTTCGATAAAAAAAATCGAATGGTATGTTTTTTTCGTTACGGATTTCCTGGAACATATCGTCGTATTTTTCTCCGAGTTCGTATGGAAGATATTCAGTCCCTCATACTACAAGCTAACCCAGAACCTAGTAGTGGTGTCCTTTATATGCAAACCAGAGAACAGGGGACCATTCCCTTGACTCCTGTTGATGATAGGACTCCATGCAACGTTATACAAAAAGCTTGGGACTTGTCCAGATTCTTGAGTGTACCAATGGAAATCGTTCCATATTCTTGAGTATACCAATGGAAATCGCTGTATCCAAACAATTTCATTTTTAATTCATAGCTTTTGAAACACTTTTTTTCTTCTTCATTCAAATTGGCAATGGCTTATTTCGTTTTCTTATTTGATTTCTGTATTCTTTTGGATTCTTTTTTCAAATTGAAGGAAAAAGAAACTAACCTCCGAATTACAAATAAAAAGAATAGCTTCTCAATTTCTATGAAAAAATTATAAATTGATATATTCTAGGCTAAGCTCTATTACTTGTATTTACTTGTAATAGAACTTATGCTTGATAGAAAGATTATTATTATATATAGTTGAAAAATGAGATGAAACTGAGTTCATTAAAGACGAAAAATGGCAAAAAAGAAAGCATGCATTCCCCTTCTATGTCTTACATCTATAGTCTTTTTGCCCTGGTGCATCTCTTTTACATTTCAGAAAAGTCTGGAATCTTGGATTACTAATTGGTGGAATATGAAAGAATCCGAAATTGTCTTGAATACTATTCAAGAAAAAAGTATTTTAAAGAAATTGCTAGAGTTCGAGGAACTGTTCCTCTTGGATGAAATGCTAAAGGAATACCCGGAAACACGTTTACAAAACCTTCGTATCGAAATCTACAAAGAGACCATCCAATTGATCGAGACGAACAACCTAGATCGTATCCATACGATTTTCCATTTCTGTACAAATATAATCTGTTTCCTTATTCTAAGTGGTTATTCTATTCGAGGTAATCAAGAACTCATTATTCTTAACTCTTGGGTTCAAGAATTTCTATATAACTTAAGTGACACAATAAAAGCTTTTTCTATTCTTTTATTAACTGATTTTTGTATAGGATTCCATTCGACTCAGGGTTGGGAACTAATGATTGGGTCTGTCTATAAAGATTTTGGATTTACTCCGAATGATCAGATTCTATCTTGTCTTGTTTCGATTTTTCCAGTCATTTTAGATACTATTTTTAAATATTCTATTTTCCGTTATTTAAATCGTGTATCTCCGTCGCTTGTAGTCATTTATCATTCAATGAAGGAATGAAAAAACGACCCACTGATCCAATTCTAAAATTTGTTTTTTGTATAGAAAAGCTAAACATTTAAAATTGAACTTATTCGTTTTCGTTTTACTCGTATTCTTCCTATATTATAGGAAAAGAATTGGAGTAAATAGCAGAATCATGGATAGGGAACTGTGCCAGTAACCTACCTAATCTTATTGTAGAAATTTTCAGGATCAATGATTGGACCATGCAAACTAGAAATGCTTTTTCTTGGATAAAGAAAGAGATTACCCGATCCATTTCCGTATTGCTCATGATATATATAATAACTCGAGCACCCATTTCAAATGCATATCCTATTTTTGCCCAACAAGGTTATGAAAATCCTCGAGAAGCTACCGGCCGGATTGTATGTGCTAATTGCCATTTAGCTAATAAGCCCGTAGATATTGAGGTTCCACAAGCGATACTTCCCGATACAGTATTTGAAGCAGTTGTTCGAATTCCTTATGATATGCAAGTGAAACAAGTTCTTGCTAATGGTAAAAAGGGGGCTTTGAATGTGGGAGCTGTTCTTATTTTACCAGAGGGTTTTGAATTGGCCCCTCCTGATCGTCTTTCGCCCGAGATTAAAGAAAAGATAGGTAATTTGTCTTTTCAAAGCTATCGTCCCACAAAAAAAAATATTCTTGTGATAGGCCCCGTTCCTGGAAAAAAATATAGTGAAATTACCTTTCCTATTCTTTCTCCAGATCCCGCTACTAAGAGAGATGTTTACTTCTTAAAATATCCTATATACGTAGGCGGGAACAGGGGAAGGGGTCAGATTTATCCCGACGGAAGCAAGAGTAATAATAATGTTTATAATGCTACAGCAACGGGTGTAGTAAACAAAATAATACGAAAAGAAAAAGGTGGATACGAAATAACGATAGTAGATGCATCAGATGGACGTGAAGTGATTGATATTATACCGCCAGGACCAGAACTTCTTGTTTCAGAGGGTGAATCTATCAAACTTGATCAACCATTAACGAGTAATCCTAATGTGGGTGGATTTGGTCAGGGGGATGCAGAAATAGTGCTTCAAGATCCGTTACGTGTCCAAGGTCTCTTGCTCTTCTTGGCATCTATTATTTTGGCACAAATTTTTTTGGTTCTTAAAAAGAAACAATTTGAGAAGGTGCAATTGTCTGAAATGAATTTTTAGGAATGTCAATTTATCAACATATTAAGCTGGTAAAAAGAACTCCATTTTTGTTGATAAATTCTGTGTAAAGACCTTTGGTTCTTGGTTTTTTTTCAACTGCACAATTAATTCGAACCATATGATTATGTCGCTGATTATGTCGCTGTTTTCACATTTTCATGTCCTAGAATAGAAATATTAGAATTTATATTGTAATAGAATGAAATTCGACTCGATACTAAACCTAAAAAAATAGGTAGGTAGATAATATTAAGTAAAGTAGAAAAAGGGAAAACAGGATTCTAGGATGGATAATTTGTCTTTTCCTAGAGTCCAATTCCTTCTTGTTTATGTCGAAATCGATACGTAGTTAAGGAATGGACAAACAAAAAAGACCGGGAATTGAATTCAGCAAATACAACTTTCTTAATTCACTTCAAAAAAAGAATTTAATCATGAGTCTATATTAGAAATAGATTTCTAGTAAGATTCTGTTAGTATCAAAAAGGTTTGGTTCTACAGAATCTTTTTTATGTTTAATAGAGTATTAAATATAGTATATAGTTCCCTATTCTTACAGGGAAGATCCTAAAAAAAGGAAATGGAATTTTTTGAAACATACAATAAAGTTATCTATTGACTCACTGACAAAAATATTCTGATTATGAAGAACTCAACGGGACCCCTTCGAATTCATCAAAGAAAGAGTGGATCCCCGTTGAGTTCTTATGCTTTCATTTCGAAAACTAAATTTATCCGATTATTACAGGGATGATCCCAATCCGGAATATGAACCATAAAAGAAAATACCAATTAAACCGATCACAACAATACCAGCTACAGTACCTATTATCCAAAGAGGAATTCTTCCAGTAGTATCGGCCATTTATCCCACTTTCCTCCACATTTGATCAAGTAGTCAGTCATACTAGAGACCTAAACAGTCATAGATAATTATGAAATGATATCCTTCCGAATGGGATAAGAGAATTCCTAATATATAAATACTATTCTCTTTTCTTCAATTAATTGAAAAAATAATTTGAAAATAAAACAGCAAGTACAAAAATGAGTAATAAACCCCAGTATAGACTGGTACGATTCAATTCAACATTTTGTTCATTTGGGTTTGATTGTGTCGTAGCTCTATAATTCGGATTAGGTTTATCGTTGGATGAACTGCATTGCTGATATTGATCCCAAAAAAGAAACGGTAGGTACCGCTAGTCCGTGAACAGCCAACCATCGTACTGTAAAAATGGGATAGGTCCTATCTATGGTCATTGGAGCCTCCTAAAAAGATCTACTAAATTCATCGAGTTGTTCCAAAGAATCAAAACGGCCGGTTATTAAAGGAATTCCTTGTCGGCTTTCTGTAAAATACTCGTTTGGACGGGGGCTTCCAAATACATCGTAAGCTAAACCCGTGCTGACAAATAACCAACCCGCAATGAATAGGGAGGGTATAGTAATGCTATGAATAATCCAGTATCGAATACTGGTAATAATATCAGCAAAAGAACGTTCTCCTGTGCTTCCAGACATGCCGAGCTCCACATATTCTTATACAGTCAAAGGGGGATCGATTCCATAAAAGATCAGATCAGTAAGTAGAAATTTACTGAAATTTTCAATCTTTGTTACGATCGTCAATCGTGTACCAAGGGTCTCGTTCCAGTATACCAAATCAGTATAGCTATCCTTCTTCTAACACAGCAACGAAATTTCACAATAAGTGACGAGATCGAGTACTACAAAAGAAAATTTCTTTTTTTCCTGGTTGTTTGTTTCGATGTACTGAATCGAAAATTCCTCAAAGTTTAAGACTATATATATGGACTTTATATTATTTATATTATATATATACGTTATATTATATATAATTATATAAATAAATAAAACAATTTTCCTTCGATTAGTTTACTCAACTCATGTCATGAGTTGATCAAGAAATCTGTTGATTTGGAATCACAGGTTGGGTAGATGTCACAGATGATGAATTGATTTTTTACCTATGTAACTATATTTTTCTTTTTGTTTGTCCGTAATAATTGATTCATGAATCAATTCTTTTCCATTGTATCTTTCAAGTGGTCTTTTTTGCTTCTTTTCCTATTTTTATCTAAAAAAAAAAAAATGGAAACTTAGGAAAGTGCTTTATAAACATATGTATAAAAAGAATATATTTCATCTAGTTTCCTTATGTCCACTCTAACCAGTTATTTCGGTTTTCTACTAGCGGTTTTAACTATAACCGCAGGTATTTTTATCAGTCTGAATAAGATACGACTTATTTGATTTGCAATTTTGAGAGAAATTTGGAAATTGTAGATATTCTATAGTTCCTTATCATATTTCCAATTCTTGGTCATTGAGATTCATGGTCAATATAAATTCATATTTAAGGATCGATATTACCCCCACCTTTTTTACTTTCAACCAAACTCAAATGATTGAAGTTTTTCTATTTGGAATCGTGTTAGGTCTAATTCCTATTACTTTGGCTGGATTATTTGTAACGGCCTATTTACAATACCGACGTGGCGATCAGTTGGATATTTGATTTAGTACTGTCTCTTTTGTTTATTGACTTCCTATTTTTTTGTTTGAATCCTAATTCACAGGAGATCAAATTAAC